ATTTGCGTTTGGTAAACTCGTATACCATGCGAACAACTTTCCGTGAATTGAGGTCATATATATACATGCATATGTGTAGTTGTAGGTTTTATATTACATGCATTATTTATAACAATGAGTGTGAGTGTGTGCACTCGTCGTAATTGTTCCCATTATTGTTGTTGTTGTTGTTTGTTGTTGTTGTTTGTTGTTCCTCATTTGTGATGTGTTGTGGAAGTGAATTAATTGATGCCCATATCCTGCTCATCTCAATTTTCGAAGAGCATAGGTGTGACATGGTTGTCGAAAAAGGAAATAATAAAGAGTTATAAGATGATGGCGATGATGGTGATGATGACGGCGAAGAAGAATAATGGGTCTTTTGCAATCTAGGAACGGAATCTTAACACTAATGCCCACTTTGGAGAAATTTTCCAAAAGAGATTTACATACAATCGCAGGGAGACCCGCACTCTACGTGCATTCCTCGCGAAAGAAGAAGGCACGAACGATGGAATATTAACGGCGCGCGCGAAGCCGAAGAGCGAAAAAGCGCTGGAGTAGCAAAAATCCATTCGCCACTTAAGCAATTCGCCATAAATCCTTTAACTTAATCGCCACTAAAGCTATTTATTGCTAGCAAATGCGTCCGATCGCTTCCTTAATTATACACAGGCGCACCGCTTTAATTGTTACACACACACACACTGATACGTACTGAGTGTATGTACACACAAACACCCGAGCAATGGCCACGGCAACAACAACAACAAAAAAGCACAAATAAATTACATGCTAAACATTTCCTGTTGCTCGATCCCAGGTTACACAATGATCATTCAATTACGCAACCCGACAAATTAAGATGCTTTTTTCTGCATGTTTTACTCACGAGTAAAAGTACATTTTTCCCAAAATTACAAAAACAATTTAACAAAATTTACAATTATAATATGAACATTCAATTACATAACTTTATAAATTAGTCTCCCTTTCAAATCGTTTTTTTTTCTTGATGTGAATCAAAACTGAAATATTGTTAAATTGCAAAACAAAAGAACTTGAATCAATTTAGCAAATTTTCCAATGATCTTTCAATTACATAACTCGAGAAGTTAAGCAAATTAAGAAGTTATATCAATTTAACAAAATTTCCAATTACACAATAATTGTTCAATTACTTAACCGAATAAATCTCTTCCCGCTTGAACTTATTTTTTTTACATTTTTTAAGAAAATTCTCGGAAGAAATTGTATTAATTTAACAATACTTCCTGTACATAATGTTCATTTGGTTACAAAATGATCATTTAATTTCACAACTGCGTTTGATTGAAATTTCTTTTTTTATATGTAATGCAGTATTGAGAAAATGCAAAATGTTAAATCAACTTAATTGCATTTCATGTTCCATAATTATCAATCAAACAAGTTATATCTTTGTCTTTTTATGTATAATTAACTTATCGTTTGAATAATCATATTGAAAGACACATTTTATATTGATTTGTATGTGTCAATGACTTAAAACATAATTAGAACTGATAAAACGAGACTGCTCTAAATTTGTTAATTACTCGCATGTTTTACTTTAAATCAATTTAAACAATTAGCATTATTTGCTTAAAAACGAAAATAGGTGTTAAAATTTTCACTTTAAATGCAAACCAAATATTGATAAGGAAACACGTCCATATCTTGATGGAATGATAATATTTAACTTAGAGTTTATATTTCCCTTTAAAGATAAAACAAATCAAAGTGTTTTAATAACACATTGAAACAAAACTGGGTCATTATTTATAAGATTTCTTGCAATACTAATAGACTATAATTTTCTTACTTTAACTAATGAATTGTGGCCTGTTGAGAGTGCAGCTAAAGATTTATTTCATGATAAACGCGGACCGTATATTGACCTAGAAAGTTAATAAATCGAAAGAAAAACTTGATTTCTATTTCTTACAACAAATAAATAATATTAATTAAAAATATATTGGAATAGAAAATCATTTATTATTTTTGTAAATATTATTTACTTTAATAATTAATAATTATAAGTAGGTCTAAAATTACATAAAATCTAAAATAATTAACAAATTAAACCGAAAAACCATCTTTGGAATACACTGACTGACATCAATAAATATCTCAAGTGAAATAAGCTATGTCTGGAACAACAATAAGAAAAAATCTATGAAGTCAGTTTCGCCAATAAAAAGATACTTTCACAAATATGGAACGGATTTTCAAAAAAGTACGCTGGACAAAAATATTGTAGGTGTCGTAAAAGTTCCTAACAAACACTGCCGATGTTTGCTAAGAATTGCCCGGAGGTTAAACGCCATATGTACTGGTTTCTTTCTTTTCATCCACTTTTTTTTTGGGGAATGGTTTCGAACATTTTTATTGCAGTTTTTTGAGAAATCTATTACTTTTTAGACCGAACAAGTCTCGTTTGTTAATTGATGCCATGCAATTACTTCAAGTAGCTGCTCATTCTCTATTTACTTGAGATATGCTCTAGTTCTTCCATATTAAGTACATTAATAAAAGTCTCAACATAATTTATGATCGCATATCCTCACACAAAAAAAAACACTTCTTCACTCATGATCGTTTCTCTAATGCGTTTTAGAAATTATGTGACTTTAATATATCATGAGTTTATTTATGTACTTAAATCTCTTTTGAATAGACTTTGGTATTTGTAAGGATAATCAAGATGTCAACATGAAAGAAATTGGGTTTTTTTTACAGTTTTGTAATAGAAGTCAATTTATAAAAAGTTTTCATTAAAAGACATTTTATTAATTAATAAATGAATGCATCTACATAAGTATTGTCTTTAGATTATCTGTCAATATAAGACATAATAATCAATGATGAATGTACTTTTAATGGCAAAGATGATGTAGCATTAAGAAATTTAATGTATAACAACAATACAATAAATATTTAGTGTGTACTGAAATATAAACGAAGATTTGTAAAAAGAAGGTATTGTCATGCTATTGATTGTCTTCAACCACCCACGACATTTTTCTCAATTGAAGTTTTTGGCCCCCCAAAATGCACACATGTTCTCTTTGTTATTCCTTGCATGATTTATAACCGTTTCATGGCTTAAATAATTGACATAAACCTTGAAATATTGTCTTACGTTTTTAGAAGCAACTTAAGCAAAATTTTATTAAAAAAAAAATATTTGATATATTTTGTATTCATCTTCGAATTAATCTTAAAATTTGTATTATTACGTAAATAACTTATTATATATTAATGGAAATTTGTACTTTTAATTGTGAACCAAAATATATAAGATATGTTATTATACAATTACTTTTTATTACTTGTATAACTACATGTATTACCTTTATACCTGTGCTTGGCAAGTCGCGTATCAATTTTTTATCATATAATCATCATATAACAATGGTAATTACATTGATTAAGAAGTAATTTCAAAATGTATATTGTTTAAACTTTTATTTATTGGATCGTAAAGCGCAGTTTCATTATGATAAATATTGAGTCAGGAGTTATAGACTTTAATGAATCGTTAAAGGAATAAAAATTGGGATGAATTTCGCTTTGAGAGTGTACTCTGTTAGTGCTAATGGGCTGAAGAGTTTCGACGAGTTTGAGGTCGCGTTTACAGTTTTGCAAAACAATATATTACCACTCACGTAGGTCGATGAATAATGCCAGGCGCGAGAGAGGTTTTAATAGCGATTCCGCTCTTTAAGTGTACTAACTGTAATATTGTTGATATTATGTAATAATCCGCGAAGAGCGAAACTTAACTGTAGTTCCGAGCGCAGCATAATGAGAAGGGAATTCTTGCATCGCTCGACGGCGCCTCTTTCTACACCTCGCATTTTCCCTAATCGAATCATTAGCAACAGCAAAGAAAACAACAATTTCTTGTTGCTCTCCTCACTTATTTTGAGAATAACAATAATTAATTGTTGTTCGTTGTTGTTGGAAGAGTACGTCTTTAGCAAAAAAACGAAGAACATTTGATTAATGTTGTTGTTTTTCATATTTTCAATAATTTATTGTTTTGCTTACTGTTCCTAAGATTTCTTCACGTTGGAATATCTCGAACAACAATTGATTGTTGTTGTTTTTTTAATTTAATAATAACAAAAAGCAATTGTTGTTCTAGGATAGAAGAGAATATCATTAGCAACAAGCAAACAACATTTGATTGTTATTGTTGCTTCTGCAACGTTTCATTAACAATGAGAAAAAAACAAATATCAAATAAGAAGACCGGTTATTTGACATTAATTTCTTAGCAACAAACTAACAACAATTTATGATTGTTGTTAAACGGTGGGAAGAAGGGGACGAATGGAGGCGGATGTTGTTGCAGAGGGATGGCGGTGTTGGGGACGAAGTATGCGTTTAATAACTTTGTAATAAATTGCCTTATTAAAATCGACATATTTCAGTGTTTAATATACGTGTTTTTAATAAAATCCTTCTCTATATTGAAGGAAGCATGTGTACGTGTTAGTATGTGTATGAATGTGTGTGTGTGTGTAAGCGCTGCGAAGAGAGCCCAGATCCGAGCTAACTAACATTACCATTTTAAATTTAGTTGCTTAGACTAGTTATGCGAGGGAAGAGCGGGAAGGGTTTTACAGAAAATTATGAAAAATAAATAAAACATCTATACAGGAGTTGTATCGTGGGATCCTTTTCAGTTTTATCATATATTTATATATTACACACTCGTGTGTGTAATATATAAATATGTGGAATGGATTTTTCCCTTTTTCCATGCATACGCTAGTACATATATATACGTATGTGTGTGTAGTATGTATATATAGGTACACATGTCCCTATACATATAATGTGCGTTATTTATGCGAGGCTCGTTTCGTGAATCGTAAATTCATTTATCCGTCTGTCGCTGCGACTGAAGGGAATGGAAAAATGACCGTTTTCCCCATTCGCCTCGGTTTTGTTCCTTCCTCACCTTCACCTCCATTTCAAAGGAAACTTACCTCCTTGAGTCCGTCCAGTCGTCCGAGGCTGCGCGCCTGCCTCAGCCCAGGTTCAGGAACCCTGCGGCCCTTTCTCCGCCGTTCCAGCAGTCTCGGCTTCCTCGGAGTTATCGGCTCATTATCTTCTGGATCTGAATGCACTTCCGGACAGTGGTAAGTGTGTCTGCGTCGAGCCGACGGGCTCGTTATTCGCGTTATCAAATTATCGAACATATCTCAAAATCTCTTTCTCTAAACCTTTATTTACCACGAACTCATTTTCTTGTCCCTTATCCTCGTATACCTTTTTCTATCCGTCGAAAAACTTCCAAGAGAATACGACGACTGTTCACATAACTTCTCGAACCACCTTCACTTCAGAATTCATCAAACAAATGCGGGACGTGCGCGGTTTACACACTCAATCCTGGATTCCTTCGTCGGGGCTCTTCATTTCCGACACGCTGCTGGTTCCTGTGAAAAGAGACATTTCGTTAGAACTCATTAGCTCTGCTTTGTGTTTTGTAATTATTTGGACAAACATTTACTACGAAATACTACCAACATTCTATTGTGTTTTCGGCTATTTGTTTACACACAAGACTTCTTTTTTTTCCCTGTCATCACCATCAATAGATATACATCTTCATATAACTCTAAATATTACACATTACATAATACACATCAAATCAAAGGTCAATAACCAATAGCTCAGGTGTTTAAAAAAAGATAATCCAATAGTCTTCAATACAATTTTCGAACTATAGTCAAATACACAAACCAAGAAGCCTAAATAATGCAATAAACAAGTAGTTTTTAACTCAAATTTGGTGGGGCCCACATATTTATATTTGCTTGGGCCCTCAGAGTCCTCAATCATTTTGTTTTATAGTAAAAAACTAACATCTATTAGTAATAAATCACATACTTGTATTAAGTATTGAAATAAATCAAAATTGTGATATGTGTTATTTTGAAACAATCTTTCCAGTCTGATATTCGGGGATTCCCATGCAATTACGATCGTTCTCCTTGATATTTAGCTATGCCACTTATGATTACTCTATTAAATCGTTGGAACAAATTACATTCTATCACGGTGAAAAGTATAAAAAAAGCAAAAGCTGGTTTCCCCAAGCACGATCAACTTAGCAGGGCACTTGACAAGTGCCACCCGGCGTTCAAATCGCTCTTTGTTTATTATTTATTTATATCGGTGTTCGTGTAGTATATGATATGCATGGACCCTAAGGTCCATCCGCTCCGATTTACATACCACCATGTAATAACTAGGTTTCTCCGAACACTATTCGCTTCGCTAGTTAGTGCAGTGCATATACCAACCAACCAACCTACCTACTTTATACTCATCGAAGCCATTTTAAATCGGTGTCTCATCCCCGGCAATCTCGCAAAACTATTTTTAATTAAAACTATCTTTTGTACTATTTTCTAGCGCATAAAAACCATGCGCATGATTGCGAAACGACCATCATACCCATACCTATGCGATCTAATTATCCTCACTCTTATTGATAACACATTCGCCGTGAGAGCCACCTGTTTTATCATTATTCATATTCCCGACCATGGGTCATAATCTCCGCTTGCAGTCGACTCATTCCCATAGATCTTATGCTCCATCCATTCTGATATAATACAACCACAAGTGATAATTAAAAAGTAGTTTTTATTTCATTTGCACAGCTTTAATTAACAAATTAATTACCGGAATCCCATCAAACTTTATCTTTTTATTTTATATTAAAAAGAATAGTTAAAAAAATATCAATTGATTCCCAAATATTTTGATAATTAAAAAGTATTTTTTATTTAATTTCGTTAATTAACAAGTAAACTTTATCTTATAGTTGAAAATAAAAATTTTGATAATTTCCGCTCCAATCAACAAATACATTTTATAGTATTTTCTGATAAAGTACAACCGCAATCGTTTATATAAAAAAAGTAGTTTTTATTTCATTTGCAAGTCGTTAATTAACTAAGGAATTGTTGGAATCCGGCAAAACTTTGTCTCAACTCTTTTTTTTCACTACATTTTATTTCTGTAGTTCGAAAAATAAAAATATATGGAAAGATTTTAACGAAGCCAATTTAGATAATTCTGCTACTAAAATATCTTGCCGTAAATTGTAATGGGCTTCGTTTTTTTTTCTTCTTTCGTCCAGGCAGACGAATATTAAGAAAAAAGTTGTCCTAATTTCGTTTGCCTTAATTGGTAATAAGTATCATAAGTTTATAATGAATTTGAAGAAAAAAAAAAGAGTAGAACTAGACGAGATTCGAGATTGTTTACATGGTGCAAAAATACATTTCCTTTGAGAAATTAACTGTATATCATCTGTTATTAGATTAAGTTTTAATGTAATTTTATAATAATTAAGATTTTTTCTTAAACATTATTTTAAAAAAACACAACATTGATTTGAATCTTTAGTAAAAGTATATTCCGTTAAGATTAAAAGTAACGTTTTTCATAATCTAACAACAGTTGTCTTCTGCATTTCGATTTGGTCTTGAAGTGAGCGTGATTCTCTTCGGTTTTCTTGCAATATCTTCAAGCATTCGAGAAGAATGTGGCAACGTTTCGCTTGATATTTAATAACCCTGGCCTTCGACATTTCTCGTTTTGTCACAATGACCTACTCCAGCCAGCATCGAGCACCACTTATATATTTCGAAGGATATCGCATGAAACTTGCATCCTTTTTCACTTTTTTTCCCTTCTCTTGAAATAAACACAAAACTAATAAACACGTGCATTTATTTCGTATGCGTTTACTGAAAACGCTAAATAATGGGACGATAAGAATACCGGGGAATCTTATTAATGCAATTGGCTTTTATCTTACGGTTAATTAAATTAAAGCGAACCGAGGGAATGTGCGGACAACGTCAATAATAATAATATAAAAAAAAGGAAAAACAAGACGAGACACGAGGGGAATGCGAATTGCAGAAATATTATATTTATTTAACGTTGCGTGTAATGCGAAACCAACATGCTTATTAATTGAATCATTATCGGGTTTTGTTACGGAATAAGATGAATAAAACCAATAATTGGCTCTAATTATAAAACCCGATGGAATTGTTGCTTTCGCATGTAATTCCATTCATTTCAGAACGTATAAAATATACAGTGAAATGTTTTCTTCTTAGAATAAGTATCTGAAATTATTCGAATTGCACGTAACGTCACGAACCGTCAACGTTACAATCTGCAAAGCATTCTCTATGGTGTAACGTTTGTAATTGTTTAAAATGTAAAGGATAATTTGAACTATACGTAACGTCAACGTCACGTGTCAAACTGTCATCAAACACCTAAAATTCTCGAAAAAGAAAATATTAACGTGACTATTTAAAAAAAAACCTTTCAGTGATTGTAACATTCTGACATCACAAACCATCAACATTACGTCGCAACAAGCTTTAATGTATTTTGTATAGCATCGTATACAATTGTTTATAGTAAAAAGGATAATTTGAACTATACGTAACGTCACGTACTCGAACTGTCACTGTCAGGAACCTTATGAGATTCTTGAAACGATTGCAATATTCTTTAAAATTATGTTAATAAAGTTAACTAATATGAAAAAAAATTAAATTATCTATCCAAAATAATTGCAATTAATGATTTTTTAACTAATTAAAGAAGAAAATATATGTTGACGTTAATAAGTCATACACCATACTTTCCAAGTAGAAGTATTCAGTAAATATTTTTGTGTGTTCAAGTAAACTACGTTGAGTGAGGTTTTACTGTATACAATGAATACTTGTGCATTTTAGATTAATTTGCGTGAAGTCCTTAAATGGAATTTAATTTGGGCGATTTTTCGGGGACCGCTGAAGGAATGCTTCGAGTGGGCTTTTAGGCCTTCGTCGTCTTTCTTTTATTCGAATCCGGGCAGGTAGTTTGTCATGCTTTCAGCAGACGAGGGCTTTTAGTGCCGTATAAAATGATGTACACGCCGGGCCGTGGCTCCGCATTATGTCGGGGCGGAATATTTGGAATGCAAAACGCGCATTGCCATCATTGTTTTTGGTGCAATTGTTGCGCGGTTCTCGTTTTCGAGTCTTCGGGGTATGGATAAAGATCTGTGTGCGAGAGTGAAAGAGATTGAGAAGAATGAGAGAAATAAAGAGATGGAAAGATGCGACCGGATCCAGAAAAGAGAAGCGAGACTTGAGAGCGGTCGCACTTAAATCAACTGAAATAATCAAGATAAAACAGAAAACTAATTAAGTGAGAAGTGAGCAAAGCGTGGAAGAAGATGAAGATGAGGCACGAGGCGGAGGACGAGGATAACGAGATGGCCGAGTCGCAAGGAGAGCTGGAGATAGTAGAGAGGAGAGGCTGTGAAGATTTATTAAAAATTGCACTGAAACTGTATATTCCGTTTCCAAGCCATGACATCCATTTCCCTAAAATATCCTTTTACCATATGGCTGTGATTGCATCGCGATTTATCGCCGCAACGGACAAGATTAATATTCATCTTAGTCCCATTCTTTTCCGACTTTATTTATTATTCGTTAAGGCCCGACTGTTTTACTGACCAATTATATTATTTCCTTTTTAATAACAGACCAAATCCAATTTCGATCAACATTTCGCCGCATCGGACTTCCTTCTTTGGCGATACCACAGATTCCATTCATTCCCTCCGTCTTTTCTTATTGGAATTCCCCTCAGGGATCTACAAATCCAAGGATTAATTGGACAACGAAGATTATTTTTTTTTACTAATTAGTCCTATCCTATTTGAAACGACCAGTATTCTGTGAACATTGGGCAGTTCTGCTCACAAAACGACCTGTTAATACCGTTTCCAACCATAAATTCTGTTTCGTGTAAATTATTTACTTTAGCCATTTACATATTTCAGGAAACAATTCCTCGAAAAAATACGTAAATTTACGTTGAACAGTTAATTGACAAATCTTGATAAAAATATACACGTAAATCACAAACCAAATCTCTTAATTGCTGCTTTTAATCTTAGTTTACTATAACGTAGGATTAAACTGACAATTAGGACTTTCATGACATTACATCATATACTTCAAGTAGAATACCAACTTTATTATTTTAATTTATACTTATGTTACCTGTAGCCACTCTATGCGTGACAAGATACATAAATGTTATCAGATGTACCTTATACGCAACTATTACATAGTACCAATTTACATAAATATTTACTTTTTTACCACAAATATACTTTATAAGTTATTGTTAAGATATTTGTTAAGTATCACGTACCTGTATATCTATCGATAATAATTTAACGTTAAAATATCTTTTCTTGATGTCAATTTAACGTGCCTTTATGCAACCAAAAATGACTTATTACTTTTGTATGCAACCCAACAGATTTCTATTTGAAAGTAAGAATTATGTATAAACTCTAACAGAAGCGTAATAATCTTAAGCACTTGCA